TATCGGTTGAGGTGTGTAGTAATTTGTAAAGTTCCGCTTTCCTTGCTGTTGCTGGAAAAGGGATTTGTCGTCTCCTGAGTTCGCTAGTGATGCGAGGGATAGTCCATGATCTGAAAGATGCTGGACTAGCCGTATCTTCCTCCTGCGATGGGGTGTTTGTTCTAGCCGGAGTCCTTGGGATGGAGAAATCCTCTACCCCTTTTTGAGACATACTAGATTACAAAGTATATGGTTAGCGTAAAAAAACCCCAGGGGATGTACTGGCAGGCTAATTATGCCGGATGAGGCGAGAAATTTATCTTTTTCTTTGGTGACAGGTGAGGCCCTGCTAGTTGCCAAGTGGCTATGAGAGGCTCTATCTATGCGTTGGCGCGAGGGGTTATTTGAGGCCACCCGACGTAGTGGCAGGAGTTCGTAGGCCTCTCGGTGACAATACAAGAAAACAGGGGAAGGGAGTGACAGATGGCACCCTCTCTATAATTTGCGAGGCGGCTAACTCGTGTGGCCCGGGGGGCATTACCTCCGAAACGTTGAGGCGGGGTGTTGGCCTCGCGGACCACTAAACGATAGGCAGAATGCCCGGAGGGGGGATACCTATTTGGGCCTATAACCCCTAAAATTTGCCAGTACTCTATGTCCTAAGTAGAGGAGGAACCATTTGTGATGTAAGGCGTGAGCAGGCTTCACGTACCTGGTAGTATGTATGAGTTTGAATAAGCGATAGGTAAAGAAAACTGGAAAAACCTAAAGGGATAGAAAACCAGATATGATAGTGTGAGAATTGGATCCTATGATACCAATTTAGACTAGTTAGCTGTGATGAGTTCTAGCAGTACATATGGAAGGGGAATTTATGAATGGTATTGGCCCGACTGGCCCTGTTATGTGGTATGGTAACCATGCTTAGGGGGTGTATGATATGTCTCTATGGTGACAAGATTAATGCGTATGATTTAGTAATGCTAGTGTTTGTAGTATGATAAGGTGCAGGATTTAAAACAATACAGTCTATTTTAGGCCGAAAACGTAAGCCATGAAAAGAGGTAAGTACGAGGTACAGAAATATTTGAGAAATTATCCCAAATTAGGAAACAACGTGACGTATGAGTGGTTGAATCAAGACGTGTGATTCAACCCGAACGTTTGTGAGATTTTTTGAGACCGTGTTCTTGTGTACTTGGTATGTCGTTTGAGTACACAAAGAAAAAGTAAGAATATATAAGTGCCATGTAAGAAACGTGAGTACATGGTATGATAGAAACGTAATTTCTAAACATAATTAATAACCTAAATCCTACATGAAATATTTGTAAAAATGTAAAAGCTTGTTTAAGCATAACTCCATAAATATATGTATATAACATGAAGAATGTCAATAAAACTTAATAATGCCATATCTGCTAATAGATTGAACCATAACCTAAATAAATACTTATTTTTAAGTAGTTAGCAGGGGTATTGCCCCAGTCATATGCAAGGATTTCGTAATTTGCATAAATAAATGACGGTAATGACATGAAACCAACTATAGCTACTGATATTGCAGAAAAAGTTTGCTTAATATAAGAAAACCGAAACCGACATGCCTGCCGGCAGCAAAGGGGATAATATGCCTGTGACTTGGCCGTAAAGCGTGTGGCCGTAAAGTAAGGCCGTTTTAAAATCGCGACGCCGTGGGAAATGATCCGGGCGACGGACTTACGATTTTGCAGTCCTGTGGACTTAATCTGTGACGAAAACACCGGGTATGTGCGTGGCTGAAACGGGCGGAAAACCTGTAAGGATTCCTGGACACAGCTACACCAAACGAAACCGCTGATTTTTTTAAAAGCAAGATGGCGCCGTACGTGAACCGGAAGTGGATTCTCGTGCAGTGCTGACCTCGAACGGTATGGAGCCAGGTAAGGGGTGTCCCTTAAGTAGGGAGAAGGTGAGTCATACGCCCCTCCCACAATTACAGGCCAAAAGGCCTTAATACATATATATATATACATATATGTGTGTGTGTGTATATATAATATGTGTGTGTGTGTATATATAATATATACGTGTGTGTATATATATATATATATATATATATATATGTGTGTGTGTTTGTATATATATATATATATATATATATATATATATAATATGTGTGTGTATATATATATAATATATGTGTGGGGGGAAAATATAATATATGTGTTTGTGTTTATATATATATATATAATATATGTGTGTAAGTGTGTATATATAAATAT